ACTAGTACAGAATGTATAAAACTTTTGAATCAATACGACCCTGAAGAGCACAAAAACACATGCATTTTCCCGTTTTGTTTCAAAGTATCTATTTCTCCTAAAATAAAAGCAAAGTTATGTAAAGACAAACTAAGAAAAAACAGTACAAACACTATCAATGCGGCAGAAGATAAAAGATTTAAAATGTGAGCCAACCAAAGATATCTTTGCAGAAAATATCAACCTGAAATATATACCTAGCCTCAAATTATATTACTGACCTAATATATTGTCTTCTATGTTCAACACTGATAATTCATGCAAGTGGATAGGAAAAAAAAAACTCAATTAAATGAAAACTTCTAAATGGACTATAGTTTTGAATTTTTCTGATGAAGCTGTCCAGAATTCAATCAAGAAGTGTGTGCGGTGAAGTTCTATCCGGTTACGATCATGGTCACACTATGATTAAATCATCTCTATAATTTTTAACTAAAAACATTGCAAATTACAACAAAATATAAATAGAGTGAACTATAAATAATTATAAATAAATAAATAAATAGACTTAAAATAAGGCTACGATAGAGGCAAGCAATATTTCCACTGAAATGATACGTAAATTATTTAATGTAAAATTTGCAGCAACAAAAGCATGATAGAATGTAATCAAATGTAAAATGCTAAAATATGAAGTGCTAAAGAAATTGAAAACAGTCACGTAATTAGTAGACGGCATCGGTTTCAACATCATTCAATAAGCCTCGCCAAAATTTTAATCTTTCGTGTTGCAAAAGCAGAGTTCGTTCTGTTCGGGTATGCCAAACGTACACCTTTGTACAACCATCGGCTTTCAGTTCCAAATCGTCTCTTTTCAAATCCAAAGCAGTAAGAAAATGAGACTCCTGAAAAAATATTTCCCTATTTGTATAGTTTGATCAGTATCAAGGCATTTTTAAGCATGCTGTTATGTGTATAGCAAGCAAAATCACAGAGATTATTCAACGAACCTGATAACCACGAGGTACATCATATGTAAAGAATGCATTAGCATTAAGTGCCAGAGATAAATTTACGGCAAATGCAGCCATATCGATAGGAAATGGTCGTTCTGGCTTCCATAGTGAATTAAATGATATTTTCTTATCTGGAAAATTCAAATAATATCATTAAAATAGACAGATGAAAGAAAAAAGAAATCATCAAGTAATTCATATTAAATAAAGCGACCATGAGCAACAATAAACAAACACACATAGAGAAAGTGTCTGAAATTAACAAATCTCAATTGTATAATGAACTTAAAATAGCTATGATGTGCAAATAAATTACCTTCTGAAAACTTAGCCGTCTCAACAATTAATCCACCAACAAGACCGACTGGCCATATACCTACTCTTTCTATGGATCGCATTTCATCAAATAATCTCCAGTCATAGGTATTGTCGTCATCACCAAAATATACAACTCCTCTCTTTGATCTGTCGAAATTCCTCCTGAAATACAATTTAATCATTCCCATAAGAAAATTTTGAAAATGGTTTAGTTAGATTTTTTAAATTTGCATTTTTCAACGATATTCTACAGCAAACGGCAATATCGCAAGAGAGAATATGCAAAATCACAGTAAAAAAATTCTTCAAAGTAGAGAAAAAGTTCGTGCACGTAATGCAAGTTGAAACGAAATTTCGCAATACTCATATCATTCTTTATCAAACAGCCCTGGTAAGTTAAAAAACTTATAATATCAATTATGTATTTTGAATTAAAAAAAATTACAATTTTTTTAAAAAATTTACGGAAAAAAGTGAAGGACAAAATACCAATGGGATAAGACCAAAATTAAAAAGCTGAACTTTTTGCTGAAGTAATTATTCTTTCATGCAGGAGAAGATAATAGAAGGTCATCTACAAATTAATAAATAGATGTTGCTGAATAAAACTGAAACACCTCAACCACATGAGAGCTTTATTTCGTTGAACAATTCCTCGAGCAATTTTCCAGTTCGGATCTGTTTCGTTTGGTTTTTTTTCTGGAGGTGTAAGTGCATTAAGATGAGCGAATCTAATACGATATCGTTTGAAAATTTCAGCAATGAATGGAGATGTATTATTCGCATCTTCGACAACAATCCAGTACAAGTTGGGAACATATGCTGAAATGCTTTAATAGATTATGAAATCTCAAAAGTGCATGGATCTAATTAACAAAATATTAAAACGCAAAAAGGACGCCAGTAGCATACCTAACGTTTGTGCTAGACGGACGAGATCTGCTTTTTGAGTCGGCCTTCGATAAGTTGGTGTTATAAAATAAATAAATGGGAGGTCTTTGCGCATTTCAGCTAGCGGAATTCGATCACGAACTCTACAAGCAAAATCAAACTTGTAAGACTTCATAGCACGCATAGCTGTAAAAAAAGAATTCGTCACAATATATCCAAAAATACTGAAGAATACATGGTTCAGGAAAAATATTCCATTCTAAAACTAAAACCTGTAAACCTAAAAATTTTATCCTAAATTTGAAACACCAAAACAATAAAACGAAATATGAGAACTAACAAATTATCAATTCGCTGCAACTTCTCCTCCATACGATAGGTTTCCTTTTCCTGCATCCAAATTTTCTTATTCAATTCTTCTCGTTTCCTTAGTAAAGTATCAATTTCCGCAACAAGCATAAATTTCTTTTCATCCAAATTTTGTAGCTGCATCCAAAAAACTGCCATTTGTGCAACAAAAAATAGGCCCACAGCACATATAATTTTAAAAACAAGTCTTTCATCCAGCATACTGCTGATATGCTCATCCAGATATCCGGAAAGATTTCGATAGAAAACAGGGTGAGATTTTTTTCCAGACAGAACGGTCGAACCCAGTTCAGCAGGATAATCAGCATTAACCTTTAGCAAATATCCAGCTAAAAATATATGAGCCAAAATCGATGCTTAACAAAATATTACTGCTTCTTATGATGGCACAAATGATGCAGGAAAATCAGTAATAGTAGTAGCAGCAAAACAAGATAAAGAAGGTAAAGACTTATTTAACAATAAGTCACAAGAAAATTTAAAAATTAAGTCGCCGAATTCCAAGTTTGTATATGCACAGACAGATAACAATGTGCAAATTGAAACGTTCAAAGAGCGTAAGGACTATAAATGATGAATTTTACTCCACCTCATATATTTACATGTATTTCATTTAATAACAAAGGCTTTTCGGAGACTCATTTGCAATCAATTTCTTAGCTTAATGGCTTTTGACAATCCTTTTTTCTGACAATAAGGACTAGCAAAGAAGAAATAAATATGGATTTTTTTCAGCAGATAGCATTAGATTAAAAAAAATACGTAAATATGAAAACAAAGGAAGTCTCTTCACGAAAGTAGAAAAAACCTCTTTATACAAAGAGATCTCAATTAAAGCACAAGTTGATAAAAGCTTATGATTTTAGCTAATGAGGGCTGTTCCAAATCAGCTTGTGTTCAGACCACGATAAAAAAAAGGAAACTCTATGCATATCATATACAGTTCTAATAAAATGCAACAATAATAAAAAGATTTCAAAAACCAATCTCTGATAATATAAGTAATTACCGATGTAATTGCGACAGCAGTCTACATTTCGTATAACTGTAGGATAACTCAGAGCTCAATGAAGACATGAAACATGACTGAACGATGCACAGGAAATTTTGCGTGCATTAGCTATACTAATCTGTTTTTGCTAG